AAGAATACTGTGTTCATTTAACAAAAGAAAGCAGGCCATTTTTCTTACTGGAAGGTCATAAAAAATAAAGTAAGCTGTCTTTGTAAGGCTATGATGATAAAAATAGTACATCTTTTTGATGGAACCAGTTTTAGGTATACATACTCTTAATTTCACTTACTCTCAGTAAATTATCCTTTACTACATCCATAGTCCTCTGATAATGAATCTCCTAATTTAACAGTTTTATATATATTTGTAATTCTGTAACATTTTTTGACACATATTGGTGTTGCCAAGTTCCATGATTAAATATTTTCTTTGTTTCAATCATATTTCCTCCCCACATGACCACCTGAAGCAATGAGTTTTCATGAAATGGTATCCTCTATTCTTTTTTCTGTTACTTTAGAATACATTCATGATATAAACGGATATTTCTGCTTTAAACCTAAGATTATTAGGGTATTGAGTATCAAGATATTATCAAGTTATCAGACATCAATTAGTTAATTTGTGACATTTGTTTTTCTGTCAACTTGGCAATATGAAATTTATATGACCATATCCATTGATATAGATATAATAAAAGATTGTCACTTAACAATGTGTCTGCTTTTTAAAGTAGAATTGCTTTGTCCTGGCCAGTGTGGCTCAGCTGGTTGGCTGTCATCTCATGTGCCAAAAAGTTGCTGGTTCAATTCCCAGTCAGGGCACATGCCCAGGTTTCGGGCCCAGTCTCTGGTATGGTGCGTGCAGGAGGTGGCTGATAGATCCATTCACATTGATGTTTCTCTTTTTTCCTCTCCCCTCCTCTCTCTCTAAAAATCAATTAAAAAAATTTTTTTAAAGTAGAATTGCTTTGTCTGGCAAATACAACCAGAAGCAAAAAAAGCTCTTATTAGGGAAAAATGTACTATTTGGCTAAGACGTATTCTGATACTGCTAGCAGGACTATTTCACATCTGAAAGAAATAATTATATTATTATGATTTATTACATATTAGTTACTTATATTATCTCAACTTTTTTTTTTCAATGATGAGGGGAGGTTTTCTTTTTAAAAAATATGTCTTTATTGATTTCAGAGAAAGGAAGGGAGAGGGAGAGAGAGAGAGAGAGAGAGAAACATCAGTGATGAGAGAAAGCCATTGATCAGCTGCCTCCTGCACGCCCCCTAATGAGGATGGAGCCCGCAACCCTGGCATGTGCCCTGACCGGGAATCAAACAGTGATCTCCTGGTTCATAGGTCAATGCTCAATCACTGAGCATGCAGTTTGGGCTATCTCAACTCTAAAAAAAGGATTTGATCGCAAGTTAAAATCACAATAAGATACTACTACATACCAACCAGAATTGATAAAATTAAAAAGACTGACAACAACAAATGCTGGTGAAGATGTGGAATAACTGGAACTCTAAACATTGTCAATGGGCTTGTCAAAATGGTACAATCACTTTGGGAAAAGGTCTGCAGTTTTTATAAAACTAAACATACACCTACCCCATGACCCAGCAATTCTACTACTTCTTAGGTGTTTATCCAAGAAAAATGAAAACATATGTCTACAAAATGACTTACACCAGAATGTTTAGAGCAGCTTTACTAACTACAGCCAAAGACTGGATACAGCCCACATATCCACCAACAGGAAAATAAGCAAACTGTAGTATATTAACACAATGGAGAATGACTCAGCAATAAAAAAGGAGTGCGCCCTGGCCAGTGTGGCTCAGCTGGCTAGAGCGCCATCCCAAAAGGTTGTAGGTTTGATTCCCAGGTTTTCGATTCGATTCCTGTTTGGGGCGTGTGTAGGAGGCAAATGATCGATGTTTCACTTTCATGTCGTTCCTCTCTCTCCCTCTTCGTCTCTCTCTAAAATCAATAAAGGCATCTCCTCGGGTGAGGATTTTTTTAAAAAAGAAGTGGACTATTGATATACAATAATATGGCGAATCTCCAAACAGTCTCTTACAGGAGAATAGACAATTCTGAAAAACATAGTAATGTACATGGAGGGGAAAATTGAGGAAAAAAAATGAACAAAATGAAATGGAAATTAACCAAGTATTTAAAAGGAATGGAGAGTCAATGTTAGATGTGGTGCATTCATAAAGGAAAATAACTGTCCCTGAAGGATCAAACTCAAATAATAGAATGCAATATTTAAATATATTTTTCTTTTTACAATTACTGTTTAGTTTTTATTTACAATTATTGTTTAGTTTTTATTCCTTAGAGAGGGTAAGGACAATAGGGAACCCAATGAACTGCAGTGAGAGTGCAAAGATTATAGAACATTCCAAGCAAATGGGGATAAAGGGGCGCTCTCCTGAGCTACAGAAAGAATGGCTTGGTGGTTAAGATAAAACACAAGTCAAATTTATTAGAGTTGTCCAGCAATGGCGATCTTCTTGCTGGACTTGGCATTCCTGGACCCAAAGCACTCCATGGCTTCCACAATATCCATGCCATCTTTCACCTGGCTGAAGACCACATGCTTGCCATCCAACCACTCAGTCTTGGCAGTGCAGATAAAAAATGGAACTGTTTGTGTTGGGTCCGGCATTTGCCATGGACAAGATGCCAGGACCTGTATGCTTCAGAGTGAAATTCTCGTCATCAAATTTCTCCCCATAGATGGACTTGCCACCTGTGCCATCATCGCATGTGAAGTCACCACACTGGCACATAAATCCCAGATTAATTCTGTGAAAGCAGGAATCTTTACAACCAAATCCTTTCTCCCCAGTTCTCAGAGCATGAAAGTTTTCTGCTGTCTTTGGAACTTTGTCTACCAACAGCTTGAAGGAGACACAGCCCAAGGGCTCACAGTTGATGACAATGTGGAAGAACACAGTGGCGTTGACCATGGCTGAGCACGGCCAGGGCTGCAGCATCTTCAAGGCAGAGCAAGAAATTTTTCAAGGAAACTTCAGAAACAAATGCACACTTGAATCTATACGTTGAGAGGGCACATCATGAGCCAGGAAAAACTGACATAGAACAATATCAAGGCACTATCTAGTAATTCTATTGGACTGGAAAAAAAATTTTAATCCTCACCCGAGGATATATATATATATATTTCCCCCCCACTGCTTTTCAGAAAGAGTGGGAGAGAGCGAGATAAAGAGAAACATTGATGTGAGAGAGACACATCAATTGGGGCTGCGGATCAAGTCTGCAACCAAGGTATGAGGTACGTGCCCTTGGTCAGAATCAAACCCGAGACCCTTCACTCCAAGGGCCGATGCTCTCACTACTGAGCCAAACTGACTAGGCTAAAAAAGTTTTTACATTACTCCAGAGAAAAAGAACAAATATATGAAGGGGAGAGAGAGATTCAGATAGGCTTCAGAATTCTTCTCAGAAAAGTTCAGTGTCAGAAGACAGTGGAGCAATATATATAAAGTCCCCAAGGACAAAAAGTGTGACCTAAGAATTTTTATCTAGCCAAACTGTTGTTCAGGTGAAAAAAATAAACAGACATTTTTAACATGCAAGACTCAGAAAATACAATCTCCCTGATGCTTTCTTGATAAACTACTAGAGGACACACTTTAGCTAACCTATTGATAAAGAAAATATAGCAAAAGACCTGATGTGTGTGTTGAATCTATAGGATTAATATTGAGCTTACTATTCTAGGACAGAATTTGTATGCTATAAACTCTGACAGTATAGATATTATATGACTCAAAAAAATTGGGAGGATAAGGGATATAGTAGAAGGTAGTAAAACTATAGGAGGATGTGATGTAGCAAAAATCTAAAAAATAAGTTAATAGGTCAAGAAAATAAACCATGGACACAGATAATAGTGTAGTGAAAGCCACAGGACTTCCTTATGGAGCTCTCTGTGTTGGGTCACTAGTTTCCTAGATCTTACCACTTGTTTTACCGCACTACTCACTTTATTCCAGTGGTCTGGCACTATTTTCAAGGTATGCTTATATATATATATATACTGTTAGAGGTTTACGATATGGCTTTCAGAACTTATAAACCTGGGTTTAAAATGTAGCTCTACTATTAACTTCTATAATCGTCAGGTTCTTTAGCTAGGAATTTCAGATACATTCTATTCATATTGTTACTGTGAAAATTAAAAGAGCCAAAAGATGTAAAGTTTTTAGTATATTACATTAGCTGGAATGTAATAGAAACTCAGAAAATTGTAGCTACTCTTACCATTTTTTTGGAAAACAAGATATGATATAACTTTATCAATATTGTATTCAGAATGTATATGGAACAGGTTAGTACTTAATGTCCAGAAATAGTAGCATGGATTTCTAGAACCATTAAATAGGGTTCTATTTCTAGTTGTCTTTCAAAGGATCATTGTGTATCATTTTCTCTCTCCCCCCCTTCCTCTCTCTCTAAAAATCAATAAAACATTGAAGATTAAAATAGTTTTTTTAAACCATACATACTTTTGAAATATAAATACACTGTCTTTTAGAGAGAAGGACTAAAGTCTCTAATATAAATGAGACCTCAGCGTACAACAGTTAGAGTTGGCAACAAAAGTATAAATATGACCATAATTCCTGTTTGCCGGTGGTTATCACCTATTTACTGGTATTACCCAAGTTTCATAGCATACATATACAAATTCAACATATGCAGAGTACTCTCTTGTAAATATATTGATTTTCTACTCTTAACAAACATTGATTATAAGAAGTTAGGGAATGGTTTAAGCACTTATAAATCAGAAAGACAGAAGTTTATTCATTCAGCAAGTATTTATTGATCAGTATGCTAGGCACTGATCTGGCCATTAGGCATCAATGACCAAAAGCAGAGAAAAAACATTTGCAGTCTGGTGGGAGGAAGAATGGAGACATAAACAATAAACATAATAAATTCATACAGTGTACTATAAGTTGATAAAGGCTATGCAAAAAGAAAAAGACTTGCAACATAGTGAGAGGAGTTACAAGTGACAGAAGAATAAGAACCATCAAAGGAGGCTGAGAAGACAGAGCCCGTGAGTAACAGGAGTGTATGATGTTCCAGATCCTGACGAAAGTGCATCAGAGTAGAGGGAATATCAGTGGTCAGATGCCGCCAAATGAGGTGGACCTGAGAAGAGTCTGTGGGATTTGGCATTGTGATGCTGACAAGTTTCAGTAAACTTGCTACTACTATTGGTTATGGAGGGAGGATGACAAGAAAGCTAGTTACTGCTAAGCTCTCATTTTTTGTGGTCTTGTGGCACTACTGGTAGTTTGATCTTTGGTAAGTGCTTAACGTCTAGATTGCTATTCACAGAAAACTTAGTACACTGTTGGTTTTGCTTGAATGTCAAACTGGTCAATGTGAACAAATGGTTGTGAAAATTACATTGATACTAGCAGTAGGGAATGAGATTTCTGTTGTGAGGATCCCTAACCCAGAACTGCAGGAACTAGTCATTTGGTAGGTAACATCATTTAGATTCAGAACAGCTAACTAAGAGAAGCTGTGATATGTGGGCACCCAGGTGGCATTCCTAGAGGTTGCCATAGAAAGAAAATAGCTTAAAGAGGAAAAAACTCAGTGCTGATTTTAACTTCATTTAGTCCACTAAGAAAAATATCAAGCCAGGCGGAGAATTTGCCTTCTTTATTTTTTCAGTTTAATGTGGTGTTCTAGACTAACTTGGGGGGAGGTGATCAGAAATTCAGTATTTAAGTGTTGCCCCCCAGCAAGGACATACTGAGTAGATAGCATCATAAAATGTGGGCTACGATTAAGCTGCGCCAGATGAATCTCTCTCAAAGTTAATTGATGGGAACGTCCCACCTTCAAGAATTTTTATTACCTTAGCAATGCTATGCCAAGGCTGCTGAAACCCAGCTGTGGGTGCTGTGCCGACGCCCACATTGCCAGTGTCAGGAAGGATGTACTTTTAAACCTCTAATTTATCTAATAACGTCTTTAGTGATTTGTGTAGGTTTGGCATTGTGATGAAAATGCTTCCTGGCTTGGTTTGTAACAAGAATTCAGGTTGCAGTCTTAAAATGTGTATTGTTTTAGAATGCATGTGGAAGGTACTAACAAGTCATCTTAGAAAAAGATCTGAATAAAATACTGTCCTCTTCATCTAACAGAACTCATCCACCCTTTATACTTGAAAATGATGCACCTTAAATGGTTTTATGCTTGAATCATCTATTGTGGTTTGTTTTATAAATAAAGATGGCAATATATAGTGCTAAGAGTCAGCTTTCATATTCAATTACAATCTGACTCCTTTCCTTTTCTCTAATGAGAAACCGTAATTGAAAAATTTTAAAAAGAAAATGTGGATTGGACTATGTCAGCCTATAGAGTGAAAATAGAATAATAAGCTCTTGTAAATAAATATTTATAAAGAGGCAGGAAATAGTACTCTCGTTAGAAATATAAAGTTTCATAACTTAATATTGCTAACAATATTATTTTACATGATGCTTATTGTGTCTCTTTAAGAAAAAAAGCTATACAAAATCCTAACTAGTGGATTTGCTGCAAAGATTGATATTTATCAAAATAAATATATATTCAACTTTTCAGAATACACCTAGTCTTTAAAGCAGAGTACCCCATATTGCTTACAAAATAAATGTATAGAGTTTATTTCCATTCTGCTGGCCCATGTGAAAACATTGTTTGGATCAGAAGTGTCTTAATTAATACTTTTAAACTGCCTTTGTCCTACCTTTGAAATTTAAAATGTTATTTGAAATAAAATTATAGAATTAGAATTTTAGATCTGGAAGAGACTTTAGAGTTATTTTATTACAATTTCTTAATTTTCCAGTTGAAGAAACTGAAATCCAGGGTTTAAGCATCTTTTCTAAGGATACACAGCTAGTATTAGAATTTGGCTTTCTAACTCCTTATATTTCTGTTCAGAAACAAACTTATAGGTAGAACAAATTGATGGTCGCTAGATGGGAAGGGGTTGGGGGTGATGGGTGAACATGGTAAAAGGGATTAAGAAGTACAACTTTCCAGTTATAAAAATAGACATGAGGATGTAAAGTACCACATAGGGAATATAGTCAATAATGTTGTAATAACTATTATATATCAGATGGGTACTAGACTTACCTGAGTGATTACTTTGTAAGGTATATAAATGTCTAACTGCTGTGTTGCATACTTGAAACTAATATTTTATGTCAGCTGTTATTAGAAAATAATTAAAGAAACCTAAAAAATATATCTATAGCCTGGCCGGCGTGGCTCAGCGGTTCGATTCCGGTCAGGGCACATGCCCGGGTTGCGGGCTTGATCCCCAGTAGGGGGCGTGCAGGAGGCAGCCGATCCATGACTCTCTCGTCACTGATGTTTCTCTCTCCCTCTCCCTTCCTCGCTCTGAAATCAATAAAGATATATTAAATATATATCTATCTCTATAGGTAACAAAGACCCACATATAATAATTAATGCCTGCACCCACTAGTTATGATAATGATTTGGGTAGTTCCCATGATTGTCTTAGTCTGTTTGACCTGCAAGACAAATTACCATAGACTGGCTGGCTTGTAAACAATAGAAATGTATTTCTCACAGTTCAGGAGACTGCAGTGTCCAAGACCAAGGTGCCAGTAGATTTGCTGTCTAGTGATGGTGTGCTTTGTGGTTCATAGGTGACTGTCTTCTCCTTGTGTCCTCACATGGTTTATGGGGTGAGAACACTTTTATTTATTTAATCCTCATCTGAGGACATGCTTGGAGAGAGGAAGAAACATTGATGTGAGAGAGAAATATCGATACTGGGGACCAAACCCGCAACCCAGGTATGTGCCCTGACAGGGAATCAAACGTGAAACCTTTCAGAGTACAAGACGGCGCTCAACTAACCGAGCCACTCCGGCTGGGTGGGGTGAGAGCACTCTCATAAGGACACTAATCCCATTCACAAGGACCCAACCCTTGTGACCTAAGCAGCACTCAGAGCTTCCACCTCCAGCTACCACCATATTGCGGAGAATTTCAACATATGAATCTGAGGGGGACGGACGTAAACTTTCAGCTCGTAACAACGATTTAACATCTGCTTCACCCTAAATGCTGCTCCCAGATATACTATATCGCTTTTTAAATGTCTAGTTTGGGAAAAGGCTGATTTAAAATAAAACAAAAGAATTTATATAAACACTGGCAAGTACTGAACCATTGAAGGTCATTAAAATGCAGTTGTATTTTTATAATTCAAAATCTTCCACCAAACATGTTTTGGGCTGTGGTTATTTTTAAAATAGAATTGAAGAGTTAAGACTGACTGTGTGTGTCTGAAGAATAAAATCTGTGCTTTGTTTACAGAGTTCAGTTTATGAATCTTAATAGAGTCTGGACTTTTGTTTTACAGTATTTAACACTGAGAAAGTCAGTATACAGAAAATCAAACACACATTTATGTATTCATGAACATAAATAGCTTTAATAAAGTGGAATATTTATGAGACTAAACTTAAAAATTAAAACTAAATGGATCCCTGTTAATGATATTTCGACACTGTTCAGAGGTATTTATGCATATAGTTTATATGTGACTTAAACATAAACTAGATAAGGATTTTATTTCTTTCTATGAGTATATAAAGCCTGTACTTTGATATTTAAAACAAACAAGAAAGTAACAAGTTGGTATGAAAATACATTTCCTTTTGTTCTCAGGACATGAATTACTTGAAGATAGGAATAATAAGCACCTCAGACATATCTGTTAACAAATAGCAAAGGCTCATTTTTGGACTATATTTGAGGGGCCTGACAAGATTAATTTGACCTCAAAAGAGCCAGTCCCCCAAAATGACATAAACTGCAAAAGTTAAAAAATTTCTAAACATACTCTCTACTTTAGCAATGTTCTCAATAACATCTGTAACTCCAGTCCTCCAAATGCCGTGAGTATTGGCCCTCCTCTAATATTTGCTATGTAATACATTTGCCTAACTTTATTTTTATTATTATTTTTAAAATTAATGGTATATTTTAATGAAATCAACAAAACTTATAAATATATTAGATGAGGTATATGAAAAAAGTAAAAACTAAAGCATGCTCTTTAAGGTTTTCAGCCCAAGTAACTCAATATTTTCAAAGTTATGAAAAATTGTGAAGGATTAATTTTATTTATTTATATTTCTTCGTGGTGTGGAGAACTGTTCATCAAGAATTCTGTTATGACTGCCTGGCTGGTGTTGCTCAGTGGTTGAGCTCAACTCATGCACCAAGAGGTCCTGGGTTCGATTCCCAGTCAGGGCACACGGCCTGGGCTGTGGGCCCGATCTCCAGCAGAGGGTGTTTAAAACCTTCTGTATCAGGATCTTTCAAGCACTGAATGAGAAATGATGAAAAAAAAAGTGGTTTGCTATATTATTATCTTTTTACTCACTCCTGGTAATTCTCTTAAAAATGACAAGCTTTAATGATAAGCTTCTATTTGAGTTGTATGAGATATTCTCTGATGTGACAATGTTTTAAAATATATTTTGCAATTCTCATTCTTTAGAAATAATCACTTTCAATTCAGAGTCAAAACCATAAGAACTTATTCTGCTGATAGCTTTCTGACATGTAGGAATAGCTGATGTGGGTGAAGCGTCTAGCTTGATGTTTTATATCTAGCTATTAGTCAGCTAATCCTCCTCCCTACTTCACTGAAAATATTTTCATTCTGTCTGACAAAAAGTAAAAAATTACATTAACTATGACTAAAAATGTATTGCAGATGACACATTAATGAGACTAATGGTTCTTGCCTTCTTGAAAGTTTTCATGGTCTTACCTTTGGTGAACTTAGATCCAGATAGTTTAATAATTACACAAAAGATAGCATTTTAAAAAAATTCTGGGTAACAAGATTACAATAAAGGTTTCAGATAATTTTAAATATAAACTTTAAAATAATTAGAAGGACTAAGTAAATATTATACTGCTAGTATAAAGTCCACTTAGGCAGAATATTTGGATGTGTCCAGTTATTCAAAGTAAAGCATGACTGAAAAGTAAAAACAAGCAATGCTGACAGAGTTTAGGTATATGAAGGAAATTTTTGACCCTTAAGGAAAAATTCAGTTAACTTAGCATGAAAAGAGAAATGGTTATACTGTTTATAAAGCATTTGGATTTCAAAGAATGCCATCAATTTATT